TGCCAGGGAGCTGCTGCTGCTGCTTCTCCTTGGGACTCGATGCCAGAAAGCTTTAGCGTGGACTTTAACACTCTGAACTCTTTACCTTTGAAATGGATGCATTCATGCAATAAACAGCTTTTCAGCAGCCAACTACTGCTCCGGTCTCTCTGAAGACCCAGATCCCCAGCCAGGATTTCTCCCTGCAGGAGCAGTGCTGTCCATCGGGTGCCCTCAGTGCTGCTGTCCTGAGCAGTCCCTCCCCAGCTGCCTGGCACAGACACGAGCACTCTGTGCATTATCAGGTTCTCTGTCAAGTACGAGGCAGTGGACATAAGAGCTGTAATAAACTGTGCTGTCTGTCCCTCAGCTGGGCATGCCTGTAAGAGCCAAGATCATTTCCAGATGTCTCAGAATTGCAAGATACAAATTCAGAGATAATGGCTTCAGCTACTGCTGTATCTCCTCTTTGCTTGATTAAAAAAATAATATAGAAGGAAAGATTTGATAAGCTTATTTCTCCAGGGAAAAGAAGGGGTCAGAAATACACAATTGATAGAGGAGCCTGCATTCAGCAAGAATCCTGGCTGTGGGGGAAAGGGACAGACTACAGGAAGAAGGCATCACACAAGCAGCAATACTATGCAAAGCAAGGCTGGGTATAAAGAGGATTGATGGAGAGTCATCTGACCCCAAGAATTCCAAAAAATGCTGTCATGCAGCATTACAAAGCAATTCTGTTTCAGGACACATGTAGAAGAGAAGGCATCTGTGGTAAACCTTTTAACAACACACTGAAGATGCACCCCATTTCTCACAGTCACAAACTCATATGACATCCAGAGAACCTCAGAAACTGGAACATGACCAACCATTATTCAAATCCAATCAAATAAGAAATCATCAGTTAAATCTCTCTGGACTTAAACCTCGAATTTTAGTATTTTAAAAAAAAAAAGTGTGATATTATATAACACCTAACATCATATTTAACAGCATATATATTGTTACATATAAGAGAAGTCAGAGCATATCTCGCTTTAGAAATCATGCACTGGAAATTTTATTTTTAGGATTCGAGGAATGAGTTGTCCCACAACAGTCATGTCCATTTTGCCCAGGAATAACCAAATCTGATGATTCTGGAGATCTGCCTAGTCCAGAACTCCATCACTGACAGTGAGTGACAGTAAATGCCCAGAGAAGACTCTAAGACAAATGGAAATACATGGATATACTTCCTCAGAATATTCCCCCAGCCTGCAATGATTTGTTCTCATAAGGTTGCAATTTCTATCTGCATATTTTATAGTCTTTGATGGATTTCAGCTTCCAAGAATGTGTACAGCAGATTTTAAATCCATGTACACTGCTTATACCCACAGTGCCCTGTGGGGAGAAGTTTTGTACTCTGTGTGAAGCAGCAGCTCCTTGTGCCTTCCCTGGCCAACTGATCCTAATTAGTTCCTTGTGCTTAAGGTGGAAGAGAGCAATTAGCTCTCCACACACTTTTGCCATGCCAGATGCCTTTTGAACTCTTGGGCAAATACTTTTTGATCTGACAACCTGCCAGCTCCCATTTTGTCAGCTGATCTGCAATCCTGTCTACCAACACCTCCATCTAAAACCACTGAAAAGAAAAAAAATCAAACACTCTGGGGTAAAAAGCCTCTCCTGAGTTAAGACAGACACAAAGTGGTGATACAGCAATTTTATTGCTGCTCTGTCTGTCCCAGCTGTTTCTTTCACTTTTTCTCCATCCACAGATTTTGTAGATTCTCTGGGAGCCTTTTCTCCACTTGCTGCCTGCAGAGAATCACTGGTTTTTATGCCTGCACCTTCATTGTTCTCCTTGTGCCAGACACTCAGATTCACCTTCCACATCTGCATGACCATGTCCTTAATTTATGCCCCACCACAGCTCCCAGTGTCCCCACTGGGTGCTCCCCAGTGTCTCCCCATCCTCACCCAGCAAATAGCAGCACACTCCCTTCAGATCACCTGCTTTCCTCCACAGCCAGCCTCCCACTGCCAGGCTGTTCTGCCATCAAATCTTGTGCTCAGTCTCTTCCCTCGCTTCACAGGTTTCAAATTCCTCTTATTCCTTCCCCCATCAGACATTTCAAAGCCTCCTAATTCAATGAAAGATGACAAGCTCTGGCCTCTTTCCCTGTAAATACTTTATTTTCTCACTCTAACCATTACTGCTGCATCCATCCCCTCTGGGGGCTGCCATGATTTCCTCCTCCTCTTCTCTTTTCTCCTCTCCTCTGCAGTGCCTATCCTTTGAAGCCTGCCCTTCCAAGAGAACACATGTTTTTGTTCCAGCACACAGATTTGTATTTGAAAGAGCACTGGGCATGCTGTGGGCATCAACACAGCTCTGGCACTGTGACTGCAGCAAGGGTGGCACAGGGAACCTGCCCTAGGGCAAAGAAAGATGAAAAAAGCCTGAAAAATTCTCCTAAAGATGCCCAGTGACCATGAGCAGCACCCAGAGCCTCTCCTTACCTTCTCCCACCAGGCAGCCCTTCTCTGAGCCACGAGCTGCTGCAGCTGCTCCTGGAGAGCCAGCAGGTCTCTGGATACTCTGTCCATCTGTCCAGCCAGCCTGTCAGCCCAGGGGCAGCAGGAGCTCACCTCTGGCTGCCTTCTCTTCTCCTCATGAGCATCCTGGGGCTCACACATGCCCCCCTCTTCAGCCACATCATCCAACACAGTTTCCTAAACAAAAAGCAATAAAAGTTACTTTCCAGCAGGAGGCTAAATGGTTTCCCCCATCCTCTTGGTAATTCAGAGCTAGGAATTCACTGCTGCCATCTCAATATACAGTTGCTCCACAATTCCAGAGTTATTTTAAGAGAGAACCCCCTCAGTTCACTATAACATATTTCCAAGTTAACAGAAAACTTATGTTGCTAACCCAGCTTATTTTAGAAAGCACTGCACAGTCAGCTACTCTCCACTGCACTAAAGCATAAAGTAACACTCCTGAGATGGAGGTGATCAGCACTGCAGCAGCTCCAGAGATGCCCTTCCTCCCAAATTCTGAGCTTGGATGCACTTCTAGGGCTCTTTGTAACAAAGGGATGCTGGCACTGCTCCAACACCCACAGGATCACCTGTGGCCATGGGAAACTCCACAAGTTGAGGAACATCCAGAGATCCCTGCTCCAGGCTGGTCAGGAGCTGGCAGCTCTGCATGACCATGACCATCTACAGGTTTGACAATTAACTGTGCAACTGCCTTCCAAGGTAGCAACTGCTTTTTCAAATACTCAAGGAAAAAAAAAAACCTAAAAAACCAAAAATCAGAGCCCATCTATACACTCTGGTGCACAGACTGTGCAGAAACACACATTTTCAAGCCAGAAGAGCACAGCATAACTAAAGGACATAGGCCTCACTCACAGAGTATTAAACATTTATTTTCATACTGTTATCAAGAAGGCATTCAATAGGAGAGGTCATAATCTCTTTTAAGGACATCATTAGCATTCAAAATTATCTTTAGCAATTGAAGAAGCAATTTAGGAATGCTGGCAGGAAATTCAGCAGCTGAGCAGCGTGGTCTGTACCCCAGCAAGGAAAAACCAAGTGCATAATTAGTGGCACAGCAGCAGCACTGCTGGAGGAGACACCAGAGAGCCCGAAGTCACCAATGTCACACTGCTAAAGTCACAAAGTCTCAGGGACAGAAGAGGGCTGACTGGCATGCTGACACCCAGGTGAGGCACTTGAAGTTAAACACACACAGAGAGGAGGGAAAGTCTCAGATGAGAGCAGCAGCAAACACCAAAAGCTCCAACGAATGGCACACACAGACATCAAAACTTGTGCTCAGCCTAGAGACAGGGGCTGGGGAGGCAGTGACATGCTACCAGCCTTCACTTATATAAAGGATTGCTATAAAAAGGAGGGGAAATTTTACTTTTTCTCCTCTCTCTCCCTTTTCTCAGAAGGCAGGTTAAAAACTCTTAATTCACAGCAAGAGATTCTTAGGCTCATGCAAGAAAAAGCTTCCTAAGACAGCAAAGAATGGCACAGGACACCCTGCAAAAGCTCCTGCTGAGCCATGGCCCAGCTCACAGAACACACACATGGCAGGGACAGGGACAGGGACAGGATGATAATGTCAGGGAAATAAAGCCAAGAGCTTTTTGGGGTTTGGGGGCTCTTCTGTTTATGCCTTATTCTAAAATTGATTAAATGACAGAACTGTAAAGTAACATTAGCATTCAGTGCTCTCAGGCTCGTGGTGGGATTTTGGGGCTGTTCTGTGCAGGGCCAGGAGTTGGATTCGATGATCCTGGTGGATCCCTTCCAGAATATTCTGGATATTCTGTGATTACTGCAGCCACTCCAGTTCCTGCAGGGATGTCTTGCTGTGCTCTGCTCCTGCCCACCACCAGCAGGAAGAGCTGGCAGCAGCTATGCAAGAACCACCCCATCCATCAGATCAGCAATGCAAAACACAACTTTGGCAGAAAGAGAAAAACACTACTATTCTTTTTGAAGCACATCTCATTCCCATACATCCTACTGCATCCAGGAACAGCCACCAGCATCAGTGAAACAAAAGAAAAAAGGATATACACCATCCAGCACATTGAATAGTTTAGAAAGGATGTTGCTGGTCAGTTTTCAAGTATTTATTTAGAATTTAACTCCAGAAAGCAGGCTAACACTCCTCAGCATGCCACAGGCAAACGTTTTGGCAGATACACAGAAATAATTGCAGTTATATTTTATCTATTGGGAGCCAGGCCTGTGCTAATGCTGATGCTTTCCAAAAAACCGTAAGATGGTAAACATGTAAAGCAAAAACCATTAGGGAGCTAATGGAAATTGGAAACATCCTTCAGGACAGGTGAGGTAATTTCACAGTGCCCTTTGCCTTGTTTTTAGTGTAGCAAAAGGCACATAGGCAATTAGCAGTCAGCTCACCGATTCCCCAAATTCTGTAAGCTCATACAGCTAATGTGGTGTGCTAAAGGATTATTTCAGCAACACTGAACGGGCAAAAGTCGTGGAGAGAAGTGAGATGGATGGCATCGTTTGCACTCACTTGAGAAACCCTAAGATGCACAGAGAAAGGGTTATTGATTTTCTTATGATCATTCAACACAGTTCAAGGGGAAATCAGCAATGTCAACACACTATTTGGCTGGGAAAAAATGAAGTTGTTTTCAATATCAGCTGCCTGCAAATTTAGTTGTTCTCAAGACTGCAATAAAGCTTAGAGGCCCTCTTCTGAAAAGCCATTTAATTTTACAAAAATGTGCAACTGCTATGTTTAAAAACTATTAAAAAAGATGAAGATCAGACCTTTTCATTTGTGTTAACTATATGAAATTCTGCCATTCTGCCCTGCAATTCCTCAGCTTGGCTGGGTGAGTCCTACTGAAGAAAACAGGAATGAGAGAAAACTGTGAAAACATCTTATTTTACTGAGACTATTTTTTTTTCCTTTTTCTCATGTGCTGTTGAACAGATGGTTTGTAATATTTAATTTTGTGGGACTTAAGGACCTTTGGAAGTAGGCAGCTTTGTTAAAGTCAAGAAAGATGCAGCCCTCAAGATCAGTTTGGTTCATTACCATCCAATGCCAGTACACTGGTTCCAGCTGCTTCCACTCCAGAAAGGCTTCCAGCTGCATGGTCTCACACTCCAGGAGCTGCAACAGCTACAGGAAAGGAGACAAAGGAAAGGAAATCAGCTCACCTTGGTCACCTGAGAGCTCCATGAATGGTGGGCTTGGCCTGAGGCACACAAAGAGTGAGTGGCACCTGGGACAACGATTTACAGGAATATTTTTAAAAAGAGATGGGGAAAGATGAGGTAAAACACTTCTCCCAGTATCACTGATTTATCCCTCACCCCAAATGTACCAACTCCATCAGCCTTTCCACACATAAATGTGAATTTCCACATTGTTTTGAGGGATCAGAGACACAGCTCTGATATACATGCTTACTGAATGACCAGCTTCAAACCTCCTGTGCTTCCTGACCACAAAAATAAACTGTTTCTCCAAAAGTATTTTTCCTCATCTATCCCTTCACTCTGAAACAGCATGGAACAACTCCCTCGAAAATGTTATGTATTTCATAAACTGTGTGATCTGCTGCATGAGGAATCCCTCCCTTTGCCTGAGAGCACTCAGAGGAGAGATGCTGCATTATAGCTACACAAATTATATTTTTTTCACAAATAATATGCATGATACACATGTATGCACACACATATATGGTGAAGGAGACATTTAAAGACTAAATACTTATGTATCAGTAAAAAAAAAAAACTCTTGTAAAGAATGATAAGACAAATAAATTTGCTATAAATCTGGTGAGCTTTAACAATTTTGGTTCTGACCATGCCTTTGAAATGAACAATTTTAACACCAATCTGATACCAAAGGGAACTTTTTGAGATAACCACAAAGAGTGCAGGGCCTTGAGAAGAATGACAAGGACCAGACCAGTACCAGCTAAATCCATTTTATACAGACAACTATCTTCTGCTAGCTTAGCTTGCTTTAGTTACTTAGTATAAAACATAATTTAAATAAGTGCAAAGCATGAGTTGACTTTGCAGTTTTATTATGCAGATATTACTTGAAGACAAAGGAACCAAAGAAAGGAAACCACTTTGTAAGAGTAACTGCTGGAAATTATATGCAGTTTGCTCTAAAACACTGCTGGATCCAAAATACAATTATTACACATTTGCTCACACACCAGACACTTGGCACTACACTTAATGACTCTGCTAGTTTCAAGCTCAGCTGGGATATAAAAGGTGGAAGAATGGCTTTCTGCCTCCTTTTTCCTTTTCTCTTTTTTTTTTTTTTTTTGCCATAGGTACATCTACAGCACAAATGGCTTACATTATGGAATCTGAGGCTTGCAATAAAACCCAGCCAAAAAGTTGATTAAATATTCAGGCAACAGCCAAGTTACTTGACTTTAAAGTAGCTTTGTGATGTGGTCGTGAGCTGTGACTGCAGTATGAGCACGTCTCACTACAGCTAAAGAGGGTTGGGATGGGGAGCTGCTCATTCTGAGCCTTCAAAAGAAGAGTGATCCTAATAAAAGCACACTCATCATCACCTTTATTCTCACTGGAATGGCAGAAGCTCCATATGCCACTGGCTTGCACAGCACAACTGAGAGGGAATGGTTCTGTAATTCACCAAACCTCTGCAGGACCTGCTGCAGTTAACTCACCTTAACAACAAAGCTTCCTGAGCAGTCTCCTCTTTTCAAACCCTTTGGGATTTTTGGGTGCTTTTGTTGCCTTTTTTTTTTTTTTTTTTAACTACTTCATCAGTTCCACAAAACTGGAACAGCTTGTGTGAAAGAATTCACCTGATTCAGCTACAGCATCCTCACCTTTCCCTGAGGTATTAGCACCTCAGGCAGGTCTGCAATAGCCAACATTTGGGTTTCCACCTGAGGGACTTCAGGCACTGCTCCTGAATGCCAAAATCCTCTGCCATCCTTTGCACAGGCCTTGCAAGGCTTTGATGCTGTTGCAGCACGGAGAATAAAGCAGAACACAATAAAAAAAAAAAGGTACTACAAATATCCTTGAGATACCTTAGCAAAAATGATAAAAACAAATGGATGATCAGGGTTGGGAAGGGACAATGGATTGTAGGTCCATGTGCCTTGAACTGGGTCACAATGACAGTGTCCACCTGCCCCAGGGGTGACAGGTTTTCACTCAGACATGCCAATGCTTAGGAACGAACATGTCTGTCAGGCTGTTTTCATTTCTGTTTCTTCCCTCAGCCTCATCCTGTGCACGAGCTTCTCACGAGCATTTCTCTTGTGTTCTTTACCAAACTCTGCTTTTTGGGACTTGGAGGCCACAGTGATGCCTGGAGAGGCCGGGCAGAGTTAAAGGAATAAAGCAGGGATTTATTAAAAGGCCTTCAAAGGATTCACCTTGGGCAGTACAAGAGCCTGGCTGTGGCTACACCCAAGATGGACCCTGAATCACAAATTTTCACACTTTTATAAGTTTTGGTGCATTTCCATCTTGGGGTTCATTGTCCAATCCCAGCTCCAGGTTCTGCAGTCCCATCCTCCCAGATTCTCTCCTCAATTCCCTGTTGTTTGCACTTTTTGGGGCTGAAGCTGCAGCGGTGTCCTTGGTTGTGGGGCTGGCAAAGGATTGTTTTGTGTGCCTGAGCTGTGAGGAGAACTTGTAACACTTTGTATGAAGTGCAGAGTCACACCCCAATGCAGTGCAGAATCTGGAAAAGATGAAAGCTAAAACTTCAGGCATCACTCTGGTGTGTGTTCTCTTAGGTCTCACATCACAGAGCTGGAATTTCAGAAACCAAAGCCCAAATTGTACCTCTGCATCCCCCCAAACTCAGCTCCATTTCTTGTTCATTTACTACCAACAGGAGCTCGCACATGTGCCACGAGCTGCTCCACCTCTGATGCTACATGAACCTCTCAAAATGTAAAACAAAATTCCCAAGCTGTAACTAAAGCTGCCTGCCCATTTTCAAGGACCAGATGTCACACCTCCTAAAGACTGAAGTCTGTAGAAGAGCATCAATTCTGTTTCATGAAAAAAGTGAAGCAGCAAGTCAAAAAAGTGCCTCACGTGGGTATCTAAGTGATGCTTAAGGATAATGCCTGAAAATTGTATTTCCCTCTACACAAAATTAAGACAAACATATCTATTTCCTTCATTCTTCTGGAGGAAGTCACTGCTCTAAAATATTTACACTGGCTGAAAAAGCAACGACAAATTCAAATTGCCAGTCTCTGTGGAGAGGCAATCCCAGAATGAATGCTGAGAGCAAACGCTTTGCAGGAACAACTTCTTTAAGCCATTGTAAAAATCCACCCGTGGTGCAGGCAGCAGCTTTGGCACAGAGGGTGAGCTGTGCCCAGCTGAGCAAGCTGCCAGCACAGCCCAGTGTGATGCAGAAGCTCTGTAAAGAGCTTGCCTTGCTTCTGCAGCACATGGCTGGGACCTCCAAAGGCAGAACTCAGACCTCAGGGAACAGAGGGAGCTTCAGCAGCAGAAGTCTAAGGTGACAAGATGAGCTAGGTGGTTCTGGAAACTTCCCTGGAGATGTTCAGGAGCCCTCTGGACACTGCCTGAGTAACCTGCTCCCTCCTTGAGCAGGGAGCTGAGACCATGTGGCCTCCAGTGATCCTCTCCAATCCTGCCCATCCTGATACTGTCTTGGCTTGCAATGCAGGATGTGCCCAGCAGTGTGTATTCTATCCCATCTGTTAATCCAGCTGGGGCAGTGTTCTTTATCTTTCCCACAGCCCATCCTCCCTCCAGGAGATATCTCCTGTTAATGGCCATGGAGTCCCAGGGCATGACTGATAAAATTCCATCATCCCATTGGGAGATGCTCCACCCAGGGGGAGGAGCCAAGCCTTTCCTACCCAGATCAAAGCTGAGATTTGGAACATCAGAGCAGCCTTTTCCCACTGCATTCCAGAGGAAAACCAGACCCTTCCACATCATCCCTGGAGCTCTGGAGGAAAACTGCACCTTCTCCAGGAGCACTGCTCCACCAGAACCACATCTGTCACTGCAGGAGGATGCAGCCACCATGGAATGGGACTGCACCAACCCCTGACTGAGTGACGGGGGTCAGCTTGGATTCTCACTCTGGCACTGTTTTGGATTTATTCTCTGTAATACTGCATTTCTATTTTAATTTTCCTAGTAAAGAACTGTTATTCCTATTCCCATATCTTTGCCTGAGAGCGCCTTAATTTCAAAATTATAATAATTTGGAGGGAGGGGGTTTACATTTTTCCATTCCAAGGAAGGCTCCTGCCTTCCTTAGCAGACACCAGCCTTTCAAACCAAGACAGACACTCAACAGGAGACCAAAGCTGGATCTTTCTCAGCATCCACAAGTGTAACTCACATGTTGTTTAAACATATTTGCAATTACTCCTTCTGTAGAGATATTAATCTCTTTCGTATTATTTACCACCATATTAGAAAAATCATTAGCGCCTGTAGACGGTTACGGAAATCAATATTTAATAAATTTGCAGCATAATGCACCCTTTCCACAGGCTCAGTTCCAGAGATCTCCCTGCAACAAGTGTTTAATCTCCGATGCCCACAGCTCATAATTCAACTACCACAGCACTGGCAAAACTATTTTTAATCAAAACTTGCTCTGCCTAAATGTTCAGAAAATCATTTTATTGTTAGACAGAGAAAAAAAAAAAAAGGTCTTTCAGCAATAAATTCAGTTTCTTGGCTCGGAGACAAAACACTGCTAATTCATCACTGTTCACATGTGTGAAGACAGAAAAGTTGCACTGGGCTCCTGAGCCCTGGATACCTCACCCAAATGCCAACATCTCTGGGGAATTACTCATGGCTTGAGACAGGCCTGGCCTAGCAGGAAAGCTTATGTGGGGAAACTAGACTATTCAATAATTGTTTAATAAAACAATTGCTTTAATTAAATAAACTTTAAAAATTAAATTATTGAATTAAATAAATTTAAATAAAACTGAAATAACTGTTGAATAAAGAATGGCTTTATTCAATGTGTATCTGGGTAATCTGAATTCTAGTTCTGAATATCCCACAAGCACAGGAGAGAAGCAAAGTGGAGAAGAAGAAAAGGGATAAACATTCATGGAAGTTATACCATTTATGGTACCACAAGTA